GTACAAACGGTTTATCACAGATAAACCTTCGCGTAGCTTTAAAAGAATATTCGAAAACAAACAAACATATTTCAAGTGACTAGCTGTTAGTTTGTTGAAAGATTTCTAGTATCATCTGGGATAGAGAACAAGCTGACCGATGACGTCCGCACAGGACAAGACGAAGAATAATAATGGTGATATTACACATAAGTCAGATGATTCATAGTGCGGTATTCCACAGTCCTTAGATTATCCATAGCCACATAATTTTCACCACACACATATTTAAAGGAGATAAACCCCCGATTCATACTAATTTGTGCAAGCTTTGTACCACTCTTTAGAACAGTGCTCAGATTGAAGGGGAACAGATGGGAGCACTGTTTCCATTATTAAAATATATATCATTTTGTTAGTGAAACCTCATTATCAGACTTAGCCCTAATAAAGACATATGTATATGTATATAGCTACAGTCGTACTGATTTTCCTAGTGCCAAATATGGTTCCCATCAACGACTGACTGATGGTTAATTTGTTCTTGATGTGGATATAATTAGTGAATGATCATTGAGATAATCAAATCGACGGTGCATTTGTATGTTTATATATATGATAGTACAAATATAGAGTGGTATCAAATACCATATATATATATATATATATAACTTTTCTAAGTATATATAAAATACTGAACAATTAAAATATATTTTTCAAATTTCAGACTAGAATTTACCAAATCCCGACTATGCTAGTGGCTAATTCAGTTTTAACACGAGTCAGTTAAGATTTTTGTGTTGAATTTTGTACAAAGCTACAAGAGGGTTATCTATGCTAGCTATCCTTGATTTTGAAGTCATAGGCAAGATGAAAGGTAACTAGTCAGTATCACCCCCCGCCAACTCTTGGATTATTCTTGTTAGACCGATTAGTGGGATTTGACTGTCACTCTTATAACGCCGCCACAGTGCCAAACGTGAGAAGTCGCGCCCATATCTTTTTTAGAAGTAACTGTTTCAGTTACTGCCATATTTGCTTCATTTTTTATTCGTACTAGTAATTTTTATTTCAGTTAAAATTGAGATTCATCGTTTTATTTTATATTTAATTAAAGCTCTTTTTTATATTCAATCTTAAACCCCTAAAAACAACAGTAATCTACTTCCACTCATTGATCGACTCTGTGTCAATCATTCCTTTTATTTCTGTGAATAAATTTAGTTATCTTCTTCACCCTAAGTCTTGTCGTTTTCATTCAGATCCTTAAGTCAGCTCGCCTCTTACTATGTATCCAAAACCTTAAAATAGCTCAACAGGAAGCGATACTTTAGTCCTCTAGACATATTGCGAAATTTTATAGTTATAATCCGAAAGACATAATATAAGTTTGAAATTTCGAAGTAAATATCAGGCAGTCTAATATTTCAAAGTAATTTACTAAGATCATACATCATGATAATGTTGCTTTGTTATTTTCTTTATGGCAAAGATACTATTTACCGCCGTTCCTAATTTTGAACTGTCAAATAAATGGAAGGAAACCGGCCAGCAGTACCCACTGCGAACTCTTGGGCCACTTTTTTACCAAGGCCCGGCATGGACAGGTGGATAAGGCACTCGACTCGCAATCTGAGGATCGCGGGTTCGAATCCCTGTCACACCAAACATGCTCG